TTGGGTGAAATCTTTCTTAGTCCTAGAAAAACAACAGTTTGTGCAAAACACAGAACTTCATCTGAAAGTGCTGTGAAACATGATAATGCACTGAGAGCAATCATCTGATTTAAGTGAATTAAATAGATTGCATTGCTCAACCTTATTTCTTATTACAGGTTAAGTATCCCTAATTGGAAAATATGAAATGTGAAATGCTCCAAAATCTGAAACATTTTGAGTACCAACATAATGCTCCAGGGAAATGCTCACTGGAACATTTTGGATTTCAGATTTTGGGATTAGGGATGCTAAACCAGTAAGTATAAATGTAAATATTCCAAACTCCAAAAAAATCCAACATCTGAAACACTTCTGGTCCCAAGAATTTTGGATAACAGATACTCATTCTGTACCGTTAACACTCTTATCTGTTTACGAAGAACCTGCAAGCCTCTGTCTCTTACCTTTTGATTTCCGGTCATGGTACGACCTGCCTCGATAATGAGGGGTATCCAAATACAAATTCTCAAGATCTTCTTGCCATGACTCTGGGTTGAAGTGCTTGAGCAGATCTTCCACGGTATCAAATTCTGCAATTGTTTTGTCCAGAGCATCCGCAGTAAGAGTGGGATCCGTTACTGATGGAGAGTGATAGGATACCCCCTAAGAGTGACATACAGCTCAGTGTACTCAGAAAAAGTTCATTGCTATGAAATACAACAGTCATTCAACTCTATGGAAGGAACATAAACAGGCTTCTGGGTATAAGACATTGTATGTCTACATATCATGCAAAAGCCACCTGGCATTATCCTGCCATATTTTTAAATAAGAGCAATTAATTGATATAAGATAATCATTCAGTTTTTTTGCAAATCGAAGCCAAGCAGGTCATAAAACTTACAGTTCATCTGAACTGTAATGATTTAAAAATATAGGTTAGGTGGAAATATCAAAACTAAGTTATCTAATTTCTTGGTTCAAGGTCCCCTATCATCCATATATCAACAAATAATGGTGAAAATTAAAATTTCAAACTCCTTCCATGCAAGTTTCGATAATTCATTTCATTCTCTCATGTTTAGCCTCCATGTCTTCCCTTTCCAGGTCACCTGGTATTGCAGATGATGTGTGAGCAGTGTCTGAATCTACTCTGGAGACATTTTGATAAAACCTGGCACTTTAACCAATTTATTTAATGTCAACAAGGATAATTAGCCATGAAACTGGCTCTCTTGACTTAAGAGTGGCAGATTCATATGGGAAGCATATATTTTTTTAAAGTGCTATAGTTTGCTAGTGATCCCAGTTGCCATTAAAACATTCTTAGGAATACTCTTTAAATGAGGAACATAACATCATTGAATGTCTGGAAAGGATTACGTATTTTGCTATGGAATACATCCCCACATAAGGTTTCCAAGCACTTACTTCACTAACCCTTGTACAATCTAGAGGTAAATGAGCCATGATTCAAACATCTCTGTAAAAATTCATGACCCATTAACAAGGAAATAGAGAGCACACAGCCTCAAATGATTTTTAAATGTCTTTAAAAAAACTGCCAAACAAATAATATCCCCCAAGGGCAAATACCTCCTATCACTAAGGGAAAAGGGGAATTAATGAAAACTTGCTTTCCTGAAATTTAACGGTAGGATCCTATCAAGAAATAATAGGCACTTTAGAGTCTCAGACAGCAAAGCCCACAACTTATATTCTCACTCTTAGGCAATGTTGCCTCTCTTTAACCAAATAGGGACCAAAGGGCATAAGTGATTCGATGATCACCTGCTCTGAGAGGAACAGTCCCTCTTTAGCAAAACGGAGAGGTGTAAAAGCATTAATCTACCATTGGTGTAACTCAGTAGCAGTTTTCAAATATGCCCTGTAGGGGAAGTGGAGTGGGGAGAGTTGGGTGGGAGAATGAGTTAGATGGATGTATATATATTTCAGTCCAGCTCTATTTTTTTATTTTGTCATTTAGAGAAACCATACATCTAATTTTCAGTCATCCCTGTTAAAATAAGTAGATATCCTCTCCTGACCAAACCTTTCCTCCATGCTACTTTCATTACCTGCTCATGAGTCTACTCTATATTCTGCACAGGTGTAGCCAGGTAATAACAATCATTTATCTGTTGGCATGGCATTTGTCATACATTACTGAAGAGTCTAGAGATTTGTTAACAGTTCAAGCCATACCAGAGACACCTCTATAGTCATCTTGTGGATATGATATGGCTCATCCAGGGGCAGCCATATTTGTTCCTCTGTTTCTGATAAGGCAGCTCTTTAATCTAGGTGTGTGTGTGTGTGTTTCTGACTGATATGAGCTGAACTCTGATTTAAGTATATCATTTCTGTCTTTCTGGCATATGCTAGGGGTGGATAATACTTATAATTCAGTACTATAACTCCAAATCCCTAACCAACTTGTATTGTCTGGATAATCCACACTATACCTGGCTCATATTCACCAGATGGTTTATAATTAGCCTGGTATCACAATACTATGGGTCTAAGAAC